TAGAAAAGGTAAAAATAATCGGAGAAGAGAGAAAATTCACATAATTTCATTTTGAATTTCAGTATTTGCAGCCATAAGTGTCTGGCTGAAAGTCATGTAACCCTTGGGAAAATTCGTAGTATGGCGGTGAATTATAGGTCACGCATTGTAAAGATGAATACCATTATAAAGCTGTTTAGAATAAAACACTTTATCCAATAAGAACAATGAAATTAGAGATAAAAATCACAGAATAACGAAAGAGAAAGAAATATTGAAGATTATTCGATATCACCAGGTGCAATGAAAGTATGTTGCACGCGAGTTAACGAAAGAATAATTAATTAATTAATTAAATAGATTCAAATTGTCTCAGCGCTGGGACTTATTATGTAATGGTATAGCAATACGCTAAAAATCCTCTCAGTAGAAAGAAATGGAGATGCCGAGACGATGGTGTCCATTATATTCTATCATAATTCAAGACATCGAGATGCAAAGCAACATCACAACCACAAGGAAGCTCTCAAGAACTATTACAGGAAGTTAAAATCATGATATATGAATAATCATTGCTCATCTGAAGGCGTGGCAACTCGTATAGAATGTGGGTGTTCCAGAAATGACCTACAGATGGCCAGGTAACGGTCAAGAGGGTGCTGGAGGGGCGGGGCTTGTTCTTGGCTCCTGATTGGTCAGCGAGAGGTTCATTCAGTCTGCCTATTGGCCAGAGACAACCGGGGGAGGAGTTCATTGGCTTTGAAGACGACGATGATGATGATTATGATGAGGATGTTGCTACTAAGGATGCCTATGATAACGATGATAGAGATAATAAAGATAAGAATTACAACAATACCAATGAAGATTAATAATAATAATAAAATGATCATTATAACAGCAACAATAACAATTAAGGGGGGAAATATATATAAGAATTAATATATTCACAGCACAAGAGATATATTTGACGTGCTTCGATAATTGAGATAATTAAGTCGAAACGCACCAATCACATTATTTCAAACATTCCTACCCAATATAGCTCGAGGAAATGAAGAGACGAAAGTGTATTTTAGGACTCCAGATTCCGATGTTGCCAAGCGCCTTTAAATCAGTGTGAACCATGAGCCATTTCAACTAATGAGATCCGTAATTTTATCCAAATAGTCTTTCGGGGTTATTCACATAAAGGTAATTTCGCCCGTTTTCGTTTTTTTTTTTTTTTTTTTTTTTTTTTTTTTTTTTTTTTTTTACAAAGAACGTTGATTTGTGCAGTTCAGTTAAGGTAGAACAAAGATAGGAACATGTAACCTCTCTTTCTCTCCCTCTCTCTCGACCTCTACCTCTCTTTCCCTCCTTTCTCTCCCCTCCTCCCTTTCTCGCCCCGTGTCTCTCTCTCTCCCCCCCCCCTTCTCTTTTTTATCCTCCCTTACGCACCAGCAGACTATCACATTGACGTATTCCTTACATATCACACCGTATTTACACGGGCGTTCAGAATAAAGTATCTTTAATGAAGCACAAAAAAACATTTCATTTATTCCTAGCCATGTCACGAATATGATATCCGCTGCAATTACCTAATGTGTTTAATCTTGGGAAAATAACAAACTGGCAACTCGCCCCGGACTGTGGAGCACTCCGATTCGCATTTTTTATCATAATTCATCTGACACTTACTACTTGTCTACATGTGTTTGGTATTTCTATAGTACATATTCGGTATTGTTAATAATTTACGCCACTAATATTAAAAAAAAAAAAAAAAAAGGGAGAGAGAGTGACTAGCGTAAGTTACCAGTTTCCATAAGAGGGTCAGACTGGTGTTTCAAGGTCACAGCGGAGGTTAAAAAAAGGTGTGATGTCCTTTGCTTCCGCTGACCTTCTCGACGGATGCTGCGAAAGGCGACCCGTTGGAGTTCGATCTAGGGAAGGCAAAGCCAGTTCATCGTTGGTTATTCGCGAGGACGGAAGTTGTCGCTCCGCTACGGAAATGGCAGCTGAGGACCGGAAGTGCCTCGTCGTAGGAGTGGAAATTGTGAGTTGTGAGATGTATGACGTATGCATGCCATGGCGAGGTCATGGTGATAATGCGCAGCGTAACTCAAACTGGTTTAAAATATCGAATTAACAGAAACTAATTTTGACGGATGTTTCTGGAAGCTTCTAATAGGGTGCTTCACATATATATATTGTACCTTTTGTTTCTTATTAATATTCTCTAATTACAGAATACATCGGTGGAGCTCATATCGATAGCAGAGGTTTAGCAAAAGAAAGAAATCGATATAGAGTTCAATTTCCTTATGTCGTCTTTTTTATTATATAGTTTAATAGATTTAGTATGTGGTAATTCATTTTCAGAGATCCATTTCATTAACATATCATTGGTTCGTGTGGATTAAATCCGTTCATATGGATTAAATAGCAAGAGAGACTAAAAGAAGAATCAGTGGCTATTAAACAACAACAAATCAAGGTTACAATTTTCTGCCACATGAATACAATTGCATTTTGTACATTACCCTGAGCGCAACGATGGAGGCAACCAGCAGCCAAGGTTGACTGCCAGAGTACCAGGTCGCTCGTTTACACGCATGAATGATGTTTAATGACATAGCACTTACGGTATTCAGATCTCACCAGCCGAAGATTGTGTAAATGGCGCTTAACAAACCATTGCGCAGATAACCACTTGTGACTAGATGACCGTATAAGGCCGTGTCTCCCGAACAGATGTTGCCGCAGGTGATGGTCTCTGGTCCCGACGACGACCTGCAGGTGACGGGGTACTTGGTCGATGTCTTGAAGATCATCTTGGCCCACCTCGGATACTGGTGAGTGCGGTGACGTCACAGCGCTGAGTTATGTCCGCTGTTCGAAAGGCTGCAAAGAGATGTTAAATATATATATATATATATATATATATATATATATATATATATATATATATATATATATATGTATGTATGTATGTATGTATGTATGTATGTATATTATTATTATCATTATTGCATATAATGAAATTCGAAAATATCAATGCGAATATATAGTTGTACTTAGCTGCAAACAACACTACTCTTCATCCTGTTCAAACTCAAAAAAAAAAATAATAATAATAATAGGCAACTCACCCTAGACCTGCAATAATCGATTCGCCAAATCTCTTTAGAGGAAAAAATAATGAAGAGAATTGCTATTTTTTCCTTAATTGAGATTAGCCACACTATATCCACACACACACACACACACACTTGTCCTCCAGAGCGGTCGTTCCTTTTCTCCCGCAGCTACAGGTTCGTCCGCAGCCCAGACCGCATCTACGGAACGAGGCAACCGAACGGGACTTGGAACGGCTTGATAGGACTCGTGCAGAGAGGCGTGAGTAGGCGGCGTCAAGTTGCAATGTTGCATGAAAGAGCGAGACACTGTTGTAGTCTCAGGCTATGTGTCATGAGGAGGGCGAGGTGATGATAATGATTATTATCATCGTTTTTATCTTCATCATCATCATTATTATCATCATTATTTTGATGATGTTAATGATGATTATGATGTTGCTTGATGATGATTATGTAAGTTGAGGGACAATCTAGAAAATATTAGCAATTGCTTATTATGATAGCAAGACTCAACACAAACTAATATTTGAAATGTAAAATAACGACATTAATTATGGTAATCCTAATTACAAATAGGGCATATGAAAGGGGAAGGGAATGATAAAGATGTTAAAACGAAAGAAACATAATAGGAGTAAACAAATGAATAATTGAATGAATAAAAATATAAGGAAAGAAAAACCAAACCAAAAAAACCCTGGATAAAGATATCGAGTAAATCAATGACTAAAATCCTAATCCAAGCAATCAATTCGAAGGCAGAGGCCCTCAGTGCAGGCGAATAGTAAGCAACGATAATTCAAACAATAAATTCAGACGCGATGACCCCGAAAGCAAAGGCACACTAGAGAAATACAATAAAGGTGCTGTCACACTAGCACTTTTTCCGTCAATTTTTTTTTTACAATTTTCTGAAATTTTGTAAATTTTTGAGCGAATTGTCGATTTTCCAGTCAGACGATAATGACCGTTTCCGTTTGAAAACCTTAACGTCAACTTTTTCAGCCAAGCATACTCAAATCAAGAGCTATATTCGAGAATGTATGTATGTTAGATTTTTTTTTTTTTTTTTTGGACGGAAAAAGTGCTAGTGTGACTCAGGCAAGAATTGCAGTATTCGACTAAAGCCTTTCTCTTTCCACGCTCCAAGGAAGTAAACATGACTGGGTATGGCAGCTGGACGACGGAGGAGAGCTTCCAAGACTTCTCGATGAGCGAACCCCTCGCCCAGAGCTCCCTCACCGTCATCTACAGGAGGCCCGGCCTGCAGCCTGACATGGCGGGGTTCGTCAAGCCTTTCGACCCCTTGGTATGCTTGGGCGGGGGGTGGGGGGGGGGAGGTTGGTTGAATGGAAGTATAGATGGATGGACGAGTGGGTGTATGGATGAGAGAGAGAATAAGAAAAAATCCAAAAGCAAGAGAGAGAGAGAAAGAGAGAATAAGAAAAAAAAAATCAAAAGTAAGAGAGAGAGAGAGAGAGAATAAGAAAATAATAAAAAGCAAGAGAGAGAGAGAATAAGAAAATCCAAAAGCAAGAGAGACAGAGAGAGGGAGGGAGAGTGAGAAAGAGGAAGAGGGAATAAGGAAAAAATGACAAAAGCAATGGAGAGAGAGAGTTTGTAATATCCCTGTGGCTCTCGCTCTCTTGGACAGGTGTGGCTCCTTCTCTTGGTCTCTCTCCTGGTCGTCCTCGGGGCAACCATCCCTGTGATCTCGTACTACGACCGTCTTGCACCACGCAAAGGGTAAGGCACTGGTAGAGAAGTAGGAAATGATGAGATCGATATGTGATTTTACACACACACACGTTTGTCTGTTGGTTGGATTCTCTCTCTATCACCCACATCCCTCTCTCCCTCAAGGGCTGACGAAGAGCAAGCCTCCAAGGACCTGCA